AATCCCTTCTCCTCCATTCTCCTCTCGGGATCTTGGGCACGCGGGCACGCACGCACACGCGCCCGGCGTGAGTTTAAGCCACTGGGTCCGGGACTCGAACCGCGGTCGACTACATGGGAGTCCAGCGACATAGCCATTACGCTAACTGCTGGTCCCAGCCAGCATCCTTTTATTGACAGTTTGGAAGCTTGGCCCAACTTCACCTGGCTGACGCTTTGCTGGCACACAGCCTTGTAGCTCATGTGCACACTGCCAACGGGAATCGGCTCAGGGAGGGCTCTTCGGGCCACCCGTGGTCTAGTGAGTGGCCCCGTCTGCAGCCCACCGTCCTTTCCCAGGTCCACTCTTGGGGACCTTGGCTCCCTCCTTAGGACTTTATCAAGGGTAAAGGCAGCTGGTTTTGACATGCTTTATTGGCACGGGCCAGAGCAGTATGGTGTGGAGACCAAACCTGCTGTGCTCTCATTTTCCCCAGAACAGTCACCTCGAGCAGCACGGGACACCCTAACGGCTTCTGCTGCGGCTCGACAGCCTCCAAACTGTGGCGGGCAGGTGAAGGCCAACACCGGCGGAGATCCCAGGGCAACTGCAGTCACCCGTTACTCAGGAAGCTGCAGGTAGGGCGGCAGCACAGGGCACCGTGAACTGGGCATGGCGGCAGGCGGCGTGGTGCCACGGTGGGTGCCACGAAACCTAGGCTACCAGAGTCCACAGCTGATACCTGTGTCCACAGTCTCAGTTTCAAAGAAAAGTACTTAACCGGAATTTCTGAACTAGGAACAAAGAAAGGCGTTAACCTGCTTTTGCATCTACAAGCAGCAAAAGCGCAAAGGCAGACTCAAATGTAAGGTACAGCGGCCTGCTGGTCTTTTCAGACCGGAGCCCACGGGCTAACTCAGTTCATTAAAATGCACTTCACGGCCACAACGATGTGTCTGGCACTGATCCCAAACACATCCAGCAGCTCACTTGGCTGCCCGCTCCGCGGCACGCCCGACACTGCCAGCTGATGGACGAGGATGTCGGGCTCCATGGAGACGGCCGCACAGACCGCTTCCCCAATGCCACCTGGAGAAGGCAAGGGACGGGATGTTAGTTGGGACGTTCGCTGGAAGCAGCCGGTCAGCCAGCCTTAAAAAGCCCCATCCCAGAGAGGCCTTTGGGCCCACTGGTTCCCAGGGGAAAATGTCTCTCGCTAGTCACCGACTCCTCGACTCCTAGTGTAAACAGCCATTCTCTGACAACCCGAAGAATTCCCATTCTAAACTGCCAAGCCCCCAACCTCCCCCCACCCCACACACAGCAGGGGCGGTTCTGAGCCCCAGGGAGCCCTGGGATAGGCCTCAGTTGTGATGAGACTGCCCCGCGGGGCAGGCCCGGCCCACCAGCACGCACGAGCCCCGCCAAGTACTGAGTACCGCACCACCTGCCCTACCTGACCTTGGTGGGCCCCATGTCGCCCACCCCCGTCTTTTCTTTCTGTACTTGCTCTGTTCTCTGCCCACAGGGCACTAGTCCCACTTGTTTCCACGGTTGTGGGGACAACTACTCCTCCCCCAGAGGTGGGAAAAGCTATGAAGCTTTTCCTGACCCCTCCCCGCCCAGGGTTAGCCACTGAGCCTCCCGGTGACCAGGCGCCAGGTCCTGCCAGCCCCTTGCCTCGCAGTCTCCCTGAAGTCGGCTGCTGGGGACACAGGAGCATATATGAATGCGGCCCTGGGTCAGGGCATAGCAGTCTAGGCAGGGCAACACACCCCTCTAGTGACAGGCTGACAAAGAGGAAAAGGGGAGGTCTGCTGGGGGGCTGGCAGGCTGGAGGCAATGCTCAAGAACCCAGCACACGTCCGCTCATGGCAAACGAACACCTCTACCACCACCGACTCCCAGACCCTTCATGCTGCCCGCCCACACGCACCTTCTGGGTAGTGATCCTCCACCGTGATGATCCGGCCGCCCGTGGCTTTCGCACTGGCGATGATGGTGGCAGCATCCAGGGGTTTAACGGTAAACGGGTCGATGACACGGATTGAGATATCTGGAGAACAGCAATACACCGAGCTTGGCACGGGAAGCAGACTTAAAATGAAGAATACAGGGGCACAAAAACGGGAAGAGCAGTCAGGGCACATGACCGGACCTTCAGCACTCACACATGACCAACCGACCTTGTTTGGAAAGGTCATCGGCAGCTGCTAAGGCTTCGGGTAGGGTAATTCCAGCTCCAATGACTGTGACCTTGTCGCTGGCACTCTGGCGGATGACCTGGTTCGGTGTGAGCCAAACAAAATGCTGCAGTTACCACGCGCAGAGTGCACCTGGGAGTGGAGGGTGCCCCAGCCCTAACTATTTCACCTTGTCATCACGCACCGGGAGAGGAGGCTGAGCAGGATGCCGGTGGGGGGATAGAGGCAATGAGAGAGAGAGAGAGAGAGAGAGAGAAATCACCCTCTAGGGGGAACACCCCCCCCACACTCTCCTCTCCCCTACTCTCCTCCCGGGATCTTGGGCACGCACGCACGCACACGCGCCCGGCGTGAGTTTTAAGCCACCGGGTCCGGGACACAAACCGCGGTCGACTACATGGGAGTCCAGAGACACAGCCATTACACTAACTGCTGGTCTCTTATTTTAGTTTTGAAGTTGAACCGAGAGACGGACAGAGAGAGAGAGAGAGAGAAGGAAAGCGAGAAAGCAAGCTGCCTGGTCCGGGACTCAAACTGTGGTCAGACATGTGGGAGTCCAGCCATCTTAACCACCACACCACCTGCCGTCCCCATGGGAATGTTTTTCAGTGAGAGCAAAGGAAGGACGACACCTCGACGGCAGGGCTACCTGGTGCCCTTTTCGCGAAATGACATAGGACGGCCCCAGAGAACTGAAGCCCTTACCTTGGCCTGCCCGATCTGAAAGGTTTCCTCTGGGGTGTAGATAACTCGGGTTTCTGGGCGGGTAGTCCGAATGAAGCACATTCCCTAGGACACAAATAAAAACCAGAGCCAGGGAACCAGCAGTTAGCATAATGGCTATGTCGCTGGACTTCCACGTAGTCGGCCACGGTTCGCGTCCAGGGCCCGGTGGCTTAGAACTCGCTCCGGGCGCGTGTGCGTGCGTGCCCAAGATCCCGAGAGGAGAATGGAGGAGAAGGGATTGCGGCGTGACCATCCCCCCGGGAGGTGATTTCTCGCTTTCTGTCTCTATGTCTCTCTCTCTCTGTCTGGCGAGCGCACGCGCCCTATAGCGAAAAACAAACAAACAAAAACAAAACCAGAGCCACAACTAAAAAAAAAAAAAAAAAAAAATCAAACTACAGGGGCTGGCAGAAGTGTGGTGGTTAAGGCGCTGGACTCCCACATGGCCAACTGCGATATGAGTCCTAGACCTGGCAGCCTGTCTTCTCACTTTCCCTCTCTCTCCTTTCCTCCCTCTTTCTGGCAAAGTTAAAATACATACATACATGTTTTTGTTTTTAAAAAACAAACAAACAAACAAAATAATAAATCAAACTACAAGGGCCAGCAGGTGACATGGTGGTAAAGGTGCTGGACTCTCATATGGCCCAAAGCAGTTCGAGCCTGGACCCAGTAGCTTGAAAATCACGCTGGGTACGTGTGCATGTGTGCCCAAAAATCCCACAAGGAGAATGGAGGGGCAGGGATTGCACTGTGACCGTCTACCCCCTTCCCCCCCGAGGTGATTTCCCACTTTCCCTCCCTCTCCCTCCCTCCCTCTCTCTCTCTCCGGCGAGCACATTTTGGAGAGCAGGACGAGCATCTCACAAGCAGTGGTCAACAGGTCCATGGCCTCTGCCTACTGAGCCAAGCAACAGCCCACAATGTTGTCCTCGGTGACAAGCTTGCTACCCCTGCAGTTAATGACTTCTGCCACACCCAGACTTGTTCTGTCTCTACAGAACACAAACATGGGGCCTAAGCGCGACTCTCGTTGAGCAGCAAGTCCAGAACACGAGTTACAAAATCAACATCTGTCCCGATAGCTCATAATGCTTCATTGTCAGAGAGATCTTCACACCAGGATGTTATAATGACACCCTCTCCGCAGGTCCGTCCAAGGAGGTGGTGTTAAATACAGGGTGGAGGGAGATCCTTCAGAAAGGTCACGGAACGTGGACATCATGAAAAAGACCACGCATGGATGTCAAAGTTGTTTTGCACCAAAATGAACTAAAGACTTTCATTCCATTTCCATTTCCCCACAAACTTCCTAAAGCCACCCTGTACTTTTGTTTTTCTTTTCCTAACTGTATTCACCAGAGACGGATGGGGTGAGGCAGAAGTGGGGGACAGCAACCGCAATGGGGGTGTGGTCACACCCCAATCCCTTCTCCTCCATTTCTCCATCCCATCGGGATTTGGGGCACACAAACACACACACACACACACACACACACACACACGTGCCTGGAGTGTTTTTCAAGCTGTGGGGGCTGGGAGTGGAACTTGAGCGCTGGCCATGTGGGATCCGACCGCATTAACCACCAACCCACAGTCTGGTGCGCACCCCTCCCCCCCGCCCCATCTGCTTCTTATTAACCTGAACACGTGCATTTATGAGTACCCATGAATCCTCAAAGGTCTAGGTAGAGTATTTGTTAGATTTCTGTGCATGTTTAAGTGAAGTGACAGGGACCAGCAGATGGCATAGCGGTTACGTCACCGGACTCCCACGTGGCCGGCAGTGGTTCGAGTCCTGGACCTGGTGGCTTGCTTTCTCATTTTTCCGTTTCTCTCTCTCTGTCGATCTCTTGGGTACACGCACCTGCCCTGTAGCAAACTTAAAAATAATAACCGTAATAAAAACAAATAAGACTAAGGAAGTATTTTTAAGTAAATAAATAAAGTAAATAAAGTGATAAAGGCGCAAAACTATGCCTCCGTATCTCCAGAGGACTGGTTCTGGGACCTGCTGGGGACACTCGAATCCTCGGGTGCTCAAGTCCATCCATTACCGTAACCCAGGCAACTCCTCACGTGTACTCTCTATCCCATCTCTGTGTTACTCTTCGCACCTAACACAGCGTGGATGCCAGTAAATAGCTGATACACTGTACTGTCCCTCAACTCTGTTACATTTCCTGGCTCTTTTCCCAATATTTCCGACTTTCAGTCAGGCCGATCCCTACATATGGAACCCACAGATAGAGAAGACGGACCATATCTCCATCGAGAAACTCTGCTCCTGTCCATTCATGGCATGAGCCAGCTTAATCTAGCAGGTCCATCCTGAGGGCTAATGGCCGTGGTAACACGCACAACACACACACACACACACACACACACACACGTGCCTGGAGTGTTTTTCAAGCTGTGGGGGCTGGGAGTGGAACTTGAGCGCTGGCCATGTGGGATCCGACCGCATTAACCACCAACCCACAGTCTGGTGCGCACCCCTCCCCCCCGCCCCATCTGCTTCTTATTAACCTGAACACGTGCATTTATGAGTACCCATGAATCCTCAAAGGTCTAGGTAGAGTATTTGTTAGATTTCTGTGCATGTTTAAGTGAAGTGACAGGGACCAGCAGATGGCATAGCGGTTACGTCACCGGACTCCCACGTGGCCGGCAGTGGTTCGAGTCCTGGACCTGGTGGCTTGCTTTCTCATTTTTCCGTTTCTCTCTCTCTGTCGATCTCTTGGGTACACGCACCTGCCCTGTAGCAAACTTAAAAATAATAACAGTAATAAAAACAAATAAGACTAAGGAAGTATTTTTAAGTAAATAAATAAAGTAAATAAAGTGATAAAGGCGCAAAACTATGCCTCCGTATCTCCAGAGGACTGGTTCTGGGACCTGCTGGGGACACTCGAATCCTCGGGTGCTCAAGTCCATCCATTACCGTAACCCAGGCAACTCCTCACGTGTACTCTCTATCCCATCTCTGTGTTACTCTTCGCACCTAACACAGCGTGGATGCCAGTAAATAGCTGATACACTGTACTGTCCCTCAACTCTGTTACATTTCCTGGCTCTTTTCCCAATATTTCCGACTTTCAGTCAGGCCGATCCCTACATATGGAACCCACAGATAGAGAAGACGGACCATATCTCCATCGAGAAACTCTGCTCCTGTCCATTCATGGCATGAGCCAGCTTAATCTAGCAGGTCCATCCTGAGGGCTAATGGCCGTGGTAACACGCACAGAACCGAGGTGCAACACTCCAGGAATTCTGTCACCACCATCACCCACCACCCGTGTCCAGAAAGCATTCCCACGAGCCCAGAAAGTTCCCTCCTCCTGCCTGCTCTAGGCACTCTACCCACCACCCTTCAGCAACAACCTGTACTGCGATTTCTGTCAGGATCCTGTCTTACCTCTTTCGAACTTTCTAGAGATGGAATCCTATCCATCCTGTACGAAACCATGAAACAAAACAATCCCCCAGACAAAAACTAAATAAAAAAAAGAAGGCATCGAATAATATGTATCACGTGAGCCCTCTTACTGAAAAGTAATAATCCATACAAACTCTGTTCTACATGCGTCATCATAAAGGTTCAGAAAGGGGACGTTCGAGATCTGCCCCAACCGTGCCCAGGGCAGCCAGTGCGGGAGCACGGGTGAGGTGTGTCGGATGGAGCGGGAGCTGGTGAACATTCCCTAGAGAGGACAGAGGGAAGGCGGACGGTCCCACCGGCCTTGCAGCTGGGCTCTGGACAAGAAATCACCTCTGCCCTAGAAGCCCAAGCACAAGGTCTCAGGAGGAGCGAGAGAAGCCAAGACCAACACTTGCCTTCCTCGGCTGTTCCCGAAGAGGGCAAGCCATGTCTGAGCCCTGAGGCCTGCCTGCAGTGGCAAACCCCCACCCCAACTCCAGCTTCCTGTATGATGGGATGGGTGGTGGTGTGGCAGTGGCAGCAGTGGCTTCCTCATCCCTGGTGGCGGCGACCAGGTGGTGTCTCGAAGCTGATGGGCCTGATGCTAACCTCCGAGGTGGCTTCCCGGAGCCCCCTCTCGAGACTTCATGAGCACCCTTCGTGAAACCTCTTCCTGTGGAGAATACCTGGAGTGCTCCCTGCTTCTGGCGGGAGGCCTGCCTGAGACAGGCGGTCAGGTTTTGTTCAGCGTCCTTCTGGACCGTCTGAACCTCTTACAATGTGAACATGTTCATTAGTAGAATCGTCTGTTTTCCCCGTATAGGTCCTATTTTTCTTTCTTTCTTTTTTTTCCCAGACTTTTTTGCTACCAGGGCGCATGCGCTCGCCAGACAGAGAGAGACAGAGAGACAGAAAGTGAGAAATCACCTCTCCCCCCCCGCTAGGGGGTATGGCCCCACCACAATCCCTTCTCCTCCATTCTCCTCTCGGGATCTTGGGCAGGCACGCACACGTGCCTGGCGTGAGTTTTAAGCCACCGAGTCTGGGACGCGAACCACGGTCGACTACATGGGAGTCCAGCGACATAGCCATTACGCTAACTGTTGGTCCCGGTCCTATTTTTAAAGAGATCCAGCGCCAACTTCTTCTTCTTCTTCTTTTTTTTTTTTTTTAAGAGTTATCCTATTCAACTTGATTTATCCATTCATTTACTTACTTTTTAACTTGACCATAGAGGGACAGAGAGAGAGAGAGCACGAAAGAGAGAGAGAATGAGAAAGCAGGCCGCCAGGTCCGGGACCCGAACCGCGGTCAGACATGTGGGAGTCCAGCACCCCCAACTGCCACATCACCTGCCGGCCCCCCATCACCAAATTTGCCATGTTCAATTCCTTCTACACTGAGAAGAGGACGGGGAAAAAACCCAATCATCGGGACCATGCTAGGAGCCAAACCCAGCAGCAGTTGCTGTCTGAACCTGCGTCCCCTTAGAAAAGTACCTTGGTATCAGCCGCCAGGAAAACAGCATGCTCTGTCGACACTGCATCACTGGGATAGAAAATGGTGCAGTGGGGAACAGCTCGGAACATGGCCAGGTCCTCCAGGGCCATCTGGGAGGGGCCATCTTCACCTGAGAAGATGGAGCGACACAGACGTGAGCGTGACCCGCCGGGAAGCCCCTCTCTTGAGAAGCAATAACTCTTATTGCCGTCGGGGGACCCCAACTGCAGCAGAGCCCTCAAAAGCAGTTCGCTTATGCCACGGATGTGACCCGCTGTAACTGATGTTCCTGTCTTGAGATCTCATGGGTGCACCTCAGGTTAGGTTCCCAACTGACCTTTCAGATCAGTAAACTGACCTCCGTCATTTGGCACCACTGTCCAAGCAGACCTGCCACTCTTTTCTCCAAGCACGGTGGCCTGCCGGCTAAGCCTGCCAAGTCTCTGGCCCTGTCCTTGTCCCCTTAGGAGGGGACCCTCAGGCTTGGTTAGTCCTCCCTCCTGTGCTCATCAACCTCTGTCCATCAAGAGACTGGGCACTTCAGACTAAAGCGGCTCATCTGCCTCACAAGTAGCTGAGTGCCACACACCTTTGGGGGCCACCCCAGGAGTGCTGTGCTGTAGGGTGTATTGGGGAACAGAGTTTCTGGCCAGAAAGACTGTGGAAAGAAATTTTAAGGTACACCAGGGCAGCTTAGCTCTTCTCGGCCAGGAAGGGGGACTGTCACCGTGCATTCTGCCTAGCCTCAGACAGCTGTCTAACCCCAGCAGCCCAGCTCCCCTCGGGGTTGGACCCACAGCCACCTCCCCGCATAGCTGACTCGACTGAAAAAAACTTACACTAAAGAAAGAGACCGCCAGGATGCAACCAAACAAAAAGAAAGAAAGAAGTACGCACACAAACCTTTCACTGAACCCAGCCCTGGGCGAAGACCCCAGGCCCCCTGCCCAGGCCCCTCCGTCCGCCCAGACTGCAATGCTGACACCGAGCTTCAGGTGCTGCCTTGCCTCTCTCCTCTCTCCCTTGGCAACCCTTCTGCACCTCCAGCCTCCCCCACACAGCCGTGGCTTCATCCAGGCCCTTTCAGTCCACCTAACTCTCCCAAGGAGTCACTCAGATGGCCCCCGCATATGCAGCTGCAGCCTTCTAGCAGCAAACGGAAGCTGTTGCACCTACCCAGCTCACCTGTCCCCACCGAGGCAGGTCAGGGGACTCGTCTTTGGCCCCTCACTTGGGGCATCCTTGAACGCTGCCCTCCCCAACCCCCCCGGCGAGAAAGCCCCGGAGTCTTTGGGTTTTGCTCTCCACACGATTTCAGGCCCCTCCACGTGGTAGCCCTGTTCCCTTCTTTCTTCAGACTCTCAGGCCCACCCTTGATCTCTACCCCTGCCACTGATGCGGGCACACACCTTCTTCCACTCCCCTCTCAGGCTCCCCTGCTCCCTTCTAGCCTGCCCTGCCAGGCACGCTGGGAAAGGCACTTTCCTGCGTGTCCCTGCCCTGCGCCCTTGCAGCAGGAGCAGGCCCGCCAGTGGCTGGGCGCACG